ATTCATGCGCTACCACGCCCGGCTGATTTTTTTATTTATTGTAGAGATGAGGTCTCGCTGCCCAGGCGAGTCTCGAACCCGCAGGCGAGTCTCGAACCCGCAGGCTCAGGCAATCCACTCACCTCAGCCTCCCAAAGGCGCGGGATTACAGGCTGAGTATATATTTGTTAAACTGTATTAGGGACTGGTAGATGTGGATGGAAGGTATTATGGGCACATTGCAAAAGGGCCAGATTGTATACCCTGTTAAGGAGCTGGGATGCAAAAACAGAAGTGAGAATGGAGGTGGGGAAATTAGCTAGAAGCCTGCCATAATAGTTTAATAGCGATCGGAAGAGGTCATTCTCAAAAGAGATGGAGAAAATGGATTTAAGTTGGATTTCTTCCCTCAGGGAGCCAGGCAAGACGGACATTGAAGCCACAGCAGCAACAGCTGCAGCAGAATGGCACAAAGGTAATGATAGCCCTAGTCCCTTCTCTGGGGCTGATTAAACATGGGATCCCAGTACTCAGCCTTTTCACTCTGAAACATACATCTTGGGCAACTGTTGAGTTTGCTGGTTCTGCCCGTGCTCTTCTGCCCCTCAAAAGAACAAAGAGAAGGGACATCAGTCTATGTGCCCCAGAATGGAGATGAGGAGCAAAACTGAGTCTTAATCGTCTTTATATTCCTCACAGGGCCATGAAAAAACAACGGAACATACATATGAGCGGGTGTTAAAGCAGCATAAGTCTCAAGAGAGGAGTCAAGGCCTGATATCAGAGGAAAGCAGCTTACATTATGCAGACATTCAAGTGTTCAACCATTCCCAACCACGCTTTGCCGGAGAGGTGAAACATCAGCATTTAGAAAATATTACAGAGTATGCGACGCTTCACTTCCCCCAGGCCACACCTCACTATGACAGCAAGAATGGGACCCTGGTGTGAGCCTTGTGGAGGAAGGACCAGTCCCCCATTTACCACTACTCCTGTGGGGAGAATCTACTGCTTTGGAGAACTGGGTGGTAGCCCAGGGATGTTGGCCACATTTTTAGCTTGAAGATCTCCAGAGCTTCTGAAATTGTGGATGGCCCCAGTCTTTCCTATAGACTTCTTATTTGCCACCATTAGCCTGGAGGTGTAGTTGAGTGAGCCATGGGTGGACAGAATTCCACAAAATGAGGTTGGTCGAGTGTGCAGGGAGGTAGGTCTTTGACCCTACTATTGTCCTTGCTTTTTTTTTTTTTTTTTGAGTTGGAGTCTCACTCTGTCGCCCAGGCTGAAGTGCAGTGGCACGCTCCTGGCCACCGCAGCCTTGACCTGCTGGGTTCTGGCGATCCTTCCGCCTCAGCCTTC